GTTTCCAAGCGATTGAACCAGCCTTCTTTGATGTGCCATTTTCATACAGAGAGCCATATTTCAGAAAAATAATCTTATGCAACAAGGATTTTTTATCTTGAACATACTTCAAAGCAAGTTTAGCTCTCAAAGGCCCAACTTTGGTTAAACATGAATGTAGGCCGTGACCTCTCCACTTTGCTGGCCTACACATTACATTCAAATTCACATAATGAAGTCCAAATCTTCCATTCATCTTGTTCCAAATAAAACTTCTACACAACTTATCAATCTCATATAGAACACCTTTTGGGATCAGAGAATGTGTATAGTGAAATTTAGGATAAGAAAGCAAACCGATTTAACAAGAGTGATTTTCCCAGCTAAAGATATGAACTTGCCTCCCCAAACATTCAGCATCCTCAAGGCCTTACCAATAATGAACTGGAAATCCGCTCCTACAAGCCTCCTCAAGGCAATTTTAACTCTAATAGAACTTCTTAACCGATTTGAATCCCATAATACGAGAAAAAGCTCTTTTTTTTTTCCTTTTCTTTACAGATTTGCCAAACAAAATGCAAGATTTATTAACTTTTACTTTTTGACCTGTCCAACCACTGAAGTCATTTAAAATACCTTTTATCTCCTTTACTACCTTCATTTTAGCTTCTGAGAAAATAATAATGTCATTTGCATAGAGCAAATGAGAAATCCTTGGGCCATTTGAACACACAAGTACTCTAATTGAATCACCTTTTTGGATAAAAGCATTTGATAAAAGTTGAGAGCAAAGAATATATAAAAAAAGGCAACAAAGGACAACCATGACGGAAGCCACTCTCAGCATTTATCTAACTTGAAAGGTTGCTATTAATCAACGAAGAGAACCTTGGTTCTTAAACACATTCCAAAATCAGCTTAGAAAACATAGATGGGAACCCAGAATACTTCAAAGCTTTCACCAAAGTAGGCCATCCCATAGAATCATAAGCTTGCTCCATATCTATTTTGAATGAGACAAATCCTTTGGAAGATTTAGAGTACCTGAATTTATAAAATACCTCATGAGCAACCAGAACATGATCCAACATCGACCTCACTTTCAGAAACGCCACTTGCTCTTTTGAAATCAATTTAGGAATAATAGAAGATAAACTATTCAAAAGAACATTGGCAGCCACCTTGTAAACTGTATTGTACAAGCTAATGGGTCTGTAATTTGAAGGAGCCATAGGATTGCTCACCTTAGGGATCATTACAATTAAAGTCTCTTTCCAAATATAACTCATGTCCATCGTATAGAACTGATTAATAACATTCCATAAATCTTCTTTAATAATGCCCCAATAAGATTTGATAAAGGAGTAGGAAATACCATCATAGTTTGGAGTAATATTGTTGCCTGCCTGCTTGACCACAACCTCCACTTCTTCTAATGAGAAATCTCTATTCAACATCCTTATGTCATCTTCATCCAAACAATTCCACAAGGAAGGCCAACCTTCCAGTATACAGCTCCTTTCTTTCCATTTCTACTTAATGAAATGAAAAAAAACTTTATCAATTTGATTCTGATCCTCCACCATAGAGCCATTTTCATCTTTAATTTTAAAGATATATTTAGAATTTCTCCTTGCACTAGAAAATGCTTGAAAGAATTTAGAATCACAATCACCCTCAACCAACCATTTAACGTTTGCACGTTGTCTCCACCATGTGTTCAACCGAGCCAAAGTTGAATTGAGTTCCCCACCTTTGCTTTGAGAGACCAACTATCTTCTTCAACCGAAAGACCTCCATTATCTGCTTCTTTTACTTGTAGCTCCAAGATTTCCTTCAAAAGGCATTCCTTCAACTGAACTAAAGATTTAAGCTTAGCTTTACTCCAATAAAACAAAGCCTTCAAAGCTCTTTTGATCTTGTTGTTCAGTATATGAGAAAAACTTCCAACTGATTTTTTTCATCCGAACTCCTCTCACCACCGTAGTTGAAGCCGGGATAGAAGCCCAGACATCTTCAAATTTAATTGCTCTCTTAATCATACGATTGAGTTCCAGGAGATTTAATAAGATTGGGCAGTGATCCGATGCAACTCTAGCCAAATGCCTAACCATCATATGATGGGAAGAACTTAATGCAGCTGAATTAAAAAAACATCTATCCAATCTCTCTAAGATCCGATCAGCACCGGTCTTGTTATTACACCAAGTGAATTTTGGGCCAACACACCCAACCTACCTCATGAAAATCATTGCTAGCCAAAAATGACTTCATCTCTTTAGGTCTTTGGGAAAAAATAAATCCCCCCCCTCCCTTTGTCCTTAGAAAGTAAACAATTAAAGTCTACCCCACCACCATAGGCAAAGTCTTTGGAAGAATAAAATTCAGCTTCCCCCAAAGAACCCTCATTCTATAAACATCCTTATTCCCATATATAGATGCAATCCTCCATCTACCTTTATTAAGAACATCTAACTCTCCAATTACAAATTGGGGAGAAGATTCCAAAATATTAAATGTAGCCATACTAGACTTCCATAAACAAGAATGCCTCCTGAAAATCCTTCTGATGGAAGTTGGAAATAATCCCAATCAACACCAATTAACAAATTGACATCCCTTATATTAATCAAAGACAATTTTGTTTCCAATAATCCTATAAAAAAAGACACCATGATCATTCTCGAACTCCTTGAGATATAGAGAAGCTTTTCTTTTCCTAGCTTGTCTACAGTTCCAGAAAGCTATAGAATACATCATTGTCCAAGAGGGGAAGAGATCCCCACTTTATCTTTTTGTTCACCACCCACTCTCCTACTCCGAGGAGCCAATTTAATAGGACCCAATCCATTAAGTTGTTTAGAGCCTTTCTTCTCGACATTAGAAGACCACCTGCTTTGAAGCTCAAATCCCCATTCATCACCTCCATTTTCATCTCCATAGACCCATAACCTAATCCTCCATTATCAACCAAGATGCCAGGTGACGACATAACAACCTTCTCTGTGCAGACTATCTCCCCTTCATCAACCATATCATTTAAGACTTTAAATTTATTATCATCAATAGGAAGAATACAAGAATTAGAAACCATACCTCCATTTTTCGAAGCAAGCATATGCACAGGAAAATTCCTGAATTAAAGCTGAATATGGATTTGCACCTTCATATAGCACTCCTCCCAGCAATGGATATGAGTCAGCACTTCCGTTAGGCAACTTGACAACCTCAGGTTCCCTTTCAATTCTAGCAATCTCCATCGAGTCAATCCCCTTCCCACTATCCTCCTTCAAAGGACGGGATCCAGTTTTCCTGAAACCAGAACTTTTAAACCTTCTAATCCCATAATTAACATGAACCCCCGGTCCATACGCAACTTTACTTGCATCTCCATCAAATACAGCCCCATTAGCTGCTCTTGAGTTTCCCATCTCAGGTGGACTTACAATTTTATCCATATTTTCTGTTGGATTAGAAGCCTGATTTACCTCCAAAGCTTTGTCCATACAATTCTTCTTTAAGTGACCTATCTTATCACAATTGAAGCAGAAGTTAGATATCCTTTCATATTCGATTCTCTGAAGGAATCTACCTGAGCTTCCCTCCACCCAAACACCCAATGGCAACTTGCCATCCAACTTGACACGAACATGAATTCTTCCAAATTCCCTTTTCCCCCATTGAAATATGTTTCCATCAATCATATACGGCGTACCAACCATGGAAGCAATCCTGCATACATTAATTTCATCCCAACATTGTAATGGGAGATTTGGCATTATAATCCATACAGGAGCCGACAGCCCCTTCAAAGAGGTAGGAGAAAAGGATGGAGACCATCTATCCAATCCAATGATATGTCTATTAACATACCATGGTCTATTAGAAAAAACTGACTCCAACGTTTCTGGTTCATAAAACGCACATAGAACCCACCCCAGGTGAAATCTACCAAATTGAGACCATTGTCTTCACAACTCCATGCTAACCACATGAAAGGGAACATTCTCTCCAAATACTTTGATCTCCAACAGATTATGAAGCTTTTTTGAATTTTCCAATTCATTTTGTAAATGCAGCTTAACCACAGAACCATCCTCGGTAAAACAATCACCATAATCCATATCCATGACTTGATATTCGACTTCTTACTCCAAGAATTTTGCAACACATTGCTAGACGGTTGTTTGGGAACAGCTGGCCGATTATCAACTTTATTGCACTCACCCAGATCTCCTGATTCACAAATACGGTCCTTCTCCAGATCAGCTGCCGTCTGTCGATTGAACAAAATGAGCCCCTTCAGGTTTTTGAGTGCCAACAAAATTACAGCGATTAAAATACAACTTATCAGTTTCCGAGACATGGATCATCTTCAAACCAGTTCCAGTAGAATCCACAACTTTAGAACCAAACCTATCGGAATCCTCAGTCAGAAGTTTAGCATCTCCTAGTACATTCAAAGCCACCTTAGCACCAGAAGAAGAAGAAGCATCACTGTTTGATTTCAAATCAAATCTAGAATCTAGGAGAGGTCTAGATTTATTTGAAATTTTAACCAAGCTTTCGGCCAATATATTTTTCCCCTTATCTTCTATAGGTTTTTTAGAAGTTAACAAACTGCCTTCGTTGATGATCAAAGGCTTACCTGTCTTAAACTTCATCTTCCCATTTTGTACAAACCTTGAGCTTACGTCTCCAAAAGTAGGTGGAGACGAGACCGAAGTCGAATGAGACGAGAACAGAGCACCAGTATTTAATTTACTAAAATTTTTTCCTATAAGAGATGAGCATTTAACTTGCATTTAAACATAAAGTTCATCATGTAGTGAGCTTTGGCAGGAGCCACCAATGAAAAATGTAGTAATCGCTTAACTATTTGTAAGCTGATTTGGGATTTGATAATTTCGTTTTTTATTACGAATTCCTTAGACCATGCGTTCTCTGTCTTGTTGTTATGCATATATGTCCATCCTTACATATCATTCATTGATCAGAATTATTTTTTTATTGCGTTTCAGCTATGTGCTAACACTGGTTGGGGCGCTAAAGGTAGTGACAGATGGGGCCATGACAAGTATGCTGCTCCTCCAAAGAGCCACCTAAATTCAACAAATGATAAATTCAAAGTGGATGAATACAAACTTCGATCTCGTGGCAAAGACGGGAGACATTTTGATGCAGGGCACAAGATGATATGACCCCACTGACACTTCACATGATATGCACCAATCTCAAGCCTTGCATGCATCAGCATAAAGTATATTTTAATGTATTTATATATCTAGATTTAAATATTTATATTTATATGTGTTATATTCAAAATGTAAACATCACATTAAAAATATTATTAAACCCACCGCTGCTTGTCCGGGTGGTGAAGAGACGGCTGGGCAAAGCCTAGGTCCCTGATTCGAATCCCTTAGCAAGCAGTAAAAGTCTTAAGTGTTGGTCCGTATAAATTGGTGTGGGTTGCATGCTAGGTCGGCCGGGATTTTCACTGGCATAAGGACAGTGCTTCTTCGTAAAAAAAAAAAGTATTAATAATTTAAAATAAATATTTATTTCAGTAAGAACTGGGATACTAAAGTTTAATAAAGATGAACATAAAAATTTTGGTATTAAATATATAACTATTTTTTATAATACTCCTAAAATAAAGTAAAAAATAAATTAATAAAAAAGTGCATAAACTTGCTTATCTATTTTTATTTTTTTCATTTCATGGCTGTAAAAATATGAATTGAGATTTTAATGGCCATTTTTTTGATAAGTATGAATTAATTTTGGATATGATGAAAATTCTTCTTTTTCTCCATGAATTAAAAATTATGAAAAAAAAGGGAGCGCTTCCTATTCCATTCCTTTACCATTATTTTATATTGATATTTAGATAGGTTTTCTGTGATCTTAGTTTTCTGTAATTGTGATTTTTATATTTAAGTTTGTTGACTTTTAAATAATTTTTTTTTTTGAAAAATTAGAGGCAGTGGTTAAACACAACCAAAATCTATGTGAGATTTAAATTCAGAATCTTCTAATTGGGAGCAAAATCCTTAACCAACAAATTAATAAGAGCTGTATTTTTAAGTTTATTATGGAAATGAAATTATTCTGATGATATTACATATATAATTAGATGTTTACTGATTTATCTTGACTGATTGTACGGATTTTCAACTTTAAAGCAGCATCAATTGAATGATATGTTAATCAATGATTTTAGAAGATGTCTGACGAGATTAAAACGATGCACAGATATTTTTTGAATCATGAGTATCTTAGATAATTCTTTTAATATTTTAGCAAAATGATGGCTCAAACTCACTTTAACTAATAAAAATACCTAATATTAAAATTAAATTTTAATTTATTATATATGGTAAAATATAATCAAATTTATTTTAACTCATTCATATTCTTTAGATCATGTTATGACAATTGTAAATTAAAATTACTTGACATATGATCTTTTTTTTATTAATTGTTATTTAAATTATAATTAAAATGTTATTTAATGTAAATTTAGGTTAAAATTAGAAAATTACATTTTAATATAATTTATTCACATGAATCCGGAAAATAATTAAATTGTTAATAATTAAAAATTTAATTTATTTTTATAATTCAATTTATATTTTTATATAGTATTGCCACTTTATTACAATACAAATAACATTATATTTTATTTCACTTCATAAAGCTGAATTACTCATTATTAGGACTTGTTGGCCCTTGTTCCAGGACCTTGCAGAAGCATTCAAATTGGGTCAAGGGATGTCAAGAAGTTATGATTAAGTGTTGAAATGGGACATTTGTACAATACTATTTGGTTTATCAGTCGGGAACTTTGAGAGTGGCTTCTGTCAAGGTTGCCCCTTGCCACCTCTTCTATTCACATTGTTCTCAACTCCTTTTTAATGCTTTTGCTCAAACTTCTATTGGGATTAGCATTTGTCCGAATGGTCCACGGATATCACACTTATTATATGCAGATGATGTTATGATTTTCTCTAAAGCTAACAAGAAGGTGGCAATTGAGATCAAGGGCATTCTTTCCAATTTTAGTAAATGGATCGAGCAATGTATTAATATTAACAAATCTGTCATTCTTTTTTGGTAAGATTGTTAATAGAAGGAAAAAAAAGTCCATTACTCGTATTATGGGGTTCAAAGTAGTGAAAGAATTTTCTTATTTTGGTATAAAAATGGCTTTAAGAAGATTGGTGGGTGCTGATTTCCAATTCATCATTGAAAAATCATTAAGGATGCTCAATATATAGGGTAGCAAATTCATATCCTTGGCTGGCAAATTAAACTTGATTAAATCGGTTATTCTGTCCTACTTGAATTTCTATAGTACACGCTCTCTTGTTCCAATTCGTGTGCTTGAAGAAATTTGCAAATTGTGTAGGAGCTTCCTATGGAACAAGTCAAATGGAAGGTTGGGAATTCATTATGTTAGTTGGTGTGATTTGTGCAAGCCGTTATATTGGGGAGAACATGGTTTGTATTCCTCTACATCTAAAGTTGCTTCTCTTAGAGCTAGATTAGCTTGGCGGTTTTTACAAAATAAAGACTCTTTCCTACATAAAACTCTAGCTCCTAAATATGGCACCAAGGTTGAAGTTGAAGATAATAAGAAAAGTTTATCATCTTCATGGAAATTAATTTGTGATGGTGGAAAAGTTCTTATTCCTTTTATGAAATGGAATATTGCAAATGGACCATCTATTGATGTTTATAGAGACAAGTGGATATTCGATAGAAGCATCAACAAATGGCAAACTTTTGTTGTGCCTCAAGGTGATGAGGTTTTACTGTTGGAAAAATTTATTATAAACAAAAACTGGAATGTTGCTGAATTGCTGATGGTGTTTGGAAGTGAATTGGTGGAACTAATTCTACAAATCAATATTAAAACAACTCAACGGGATGATGAGTAGGAGCTGATTTTCCAAAATTCAGGGAAGACTCTTTCTGGACTGATTTTTGAATCTATGCAACAACCTTAATATGAACCCATATTTCAGAAATGGATTAAAAGAGCAAAAGTGAATCCTCGGGTAGAGGTGTTCTACTGGAGGCTATTTAAAAATGCAATCCCAACCTATCAGTTTTTAGCACATAGAAGATTGCAAATCAATGAAACATGTCCAAGATGCTGGAATGGTATTAAGGATGTGGAACATGTACTTTTCAAATGTATAAAATTGAAAGATAAGATTTCACTGTTAAACAAGTGGAGACCTGGAATTCTCGTGTTCATAAATTTTGAAGAATGTTGCTCTTGGATGGAATCAATTGCAAAACATAATGGTATGCTTCTCAACTTGTTTTGTAATGTTGTTTATCTTTCATGGAAGGCTAGGAACAAATTATTACATGATGGAGTTGTAGAAAGTGCAAATGCAATTGCTACAAGTGCCGTCAGCTTTTCTTCATTTTCTAAAATGGTTTTTAACATAAGCTTGGAAAGATGGGATGTTAATCAGTCTTTTAGGCTGTCTAATATTTGGCATCCCCCTCCATCCGATCGGTTAAAGATCAATGTAGATGCTTCACTTGTTTCTTTTTATAGAGCCGATATTGGAAGTGTGATCCATGACTGCAAAGGGGGGTTCTTATTGACTTTTGGTAAATCTTGCATACATTGGGACATTTCTCAATTGGAGCTTTTAGCTATCAAATCATTGAAAGAAGCCATCAAAGATTGGATGTTCAAATATAAGGGATCAATTATTGAAGGTGATAATTCGAATGTAATGAGGATTCTACATCACGCTTTTCTTGATGGCTTCAATGAGATGGAAGACTTGAGTTCATTAAAGAATTTAATTATGTCATCTTTAAATGTGTAGATAGAGGTAGCAACAAGTTAGCAGATATGTGTGCTAATCTTGCTCTTGTTAGTAATTTCATTTGGGAGGATTTGTGTTTGAATAAGATTCCTCCTTCTTTCGTTAGTTTGTTGAAGAAGGAACCAACATTGTAGTTTGCTTTTTTTTTTCTAGTAATGCATTTATTGCTCTTTAAAAAAAATATAATTTATGCATGTGTGTCTTAAATAGGAGAGAGAGGGAGGGAGTAGAAGCACGTGTAATAAATAGCTAACATGGTCAATGGGTTATTATGTTAGTAGTTAATAATTTAGTGGGTATTTGGATAATCAGGATTGCATTCTTTACACAACCAAAAGTAGAAGCATCAACACATAGATCATCATTCCCTATAAGATCGCTGCCAATTCTCATAGCCATGGAACCATAACAAAACTCATAAACATAACCAACATCAACAACACCTCCACGAACATCCTAAAAGAAATTTCAACAAATTTCCATACTTAAATCGAATTCTTACCAATTGAGCATTCCAACATAAGAATAAGTGAAAGAGCATCAAACCTGAAAATAGGAGGAAAATCATCTTCACTCCCTACTTTCATTTCAAATCTTCCAATCCATTGAAATACTGAAGAAAAAACAAACCAAATTCTCCAGGTGGTAATAATATCTACCAAGATTGCATCAATCCTTTCTCCAATATTTTGAAGAAACTACAAAAATTGCTCCAAAACTCAATAACCTGGTTTGGAGAAATTGAGCAAGAAAATTCATGAATTCCATTCCTCGATTGAAGAATTCCCGTTCTTAATTGAAGATGGAGGATCAACACATCAATTATAAACAAATCTTTTGAACAAAAAGTCCAAATCTACAAGTAAAAAACCCACACAACACTTTCTTGAACAATGAAAGATCCCACACCAAGAACATCTCCGTTTCAAACACCAATTCAAAAAAAAAAAAAATAAAATAAAAAATAAAAAAAATATGCTCCAAACACTAACTCAAGAAACACATAACCCAAACAAATCTAAGTTCCAATTACCACAAATAATCTCAAATCTTAATCCATTAGAAAAACCATACTGTAAGCCTACATTGGCCACGCCTTCACCCACAAAACCTCTATAAAATATGGAAAAACTTATCCGCTCTGATTGGGGGAAGACAATATACTTGGGTGAATTTTTTTCCAAAACCTAATATGAATGCCTCCCTGGCAGAAAATCCAGATGAAGAACCTTTGTTGGCCACGCCAGACTAATGAAAAACCTATGACAGCCAAAGATCCTCTAATATCATCTTCAAAACCACTCTCCATAAAAATTCTCCTTCGCCTACATTAACACAGTCTAATTCATCTCCTAACTTCCATTCATATGCTTTAACTAATTGTTTGGTTATTCATACTTTTTATAATGGATTAGTAAGATCTCTTAGGCTATTTATAAAATCAATAGATGGAGGAACTTTAATGTGTAAGCTATTTGAGGAAGCATATGAATTAATTTAGGAAATGACTACAAATATTTTCCTTTGACCTTCTGATAGGATGAATCCTAAGAGAGTAG